TGCAGGGAAGGTTGTTCTCCAGGACTCGCCCAGCCTCGGGCGCTTTTAAAGGCCCCCTAGTATAGACGGCGATCGCACAACGACAGTACAGGGACCAATCAAAGTTGGATGTGGGTGACCCAAAACGTCTTAAAAAAGCGTTCTTTATCGACGAAATTCGTTGAGCGACCTGTAAAATCTTTGGTTCATTCGCTCATGTAGTTCTAGAAAGAGGATGGAACTCTAGAAAGTTCTAGAAAGAGGCGGGGCCTGAGTAGCTTGGGTCACAATTCCTCACTGGATCTATCTAGAACCTTTGAACCCTAGAGGGGGGGGGGGTAAAATTTGACTCAAAATCGTGTAGAGAGAGATAGGCGTGGTCTTAATTTGGTCAAACTGCTCCCAAACTTCAGCCAACCTTGCAGCTTGGTTGATATGTGGTCGGGCTTTAGCAATTATATATATATAATGCTTGGGTCATATTTACAAACCGGGCCCGGCCAGGCCGTTTGTATTAACGAAAAATTAACAATTCATATCAAGAATATACAGAAATAGTTCTCATGATTATTAATTATAAAGAACTTTTCTGTGTTTTGTTGTCTTTTATATCGTACTTTTTGTCCATGTGCGAATTCTGACCTCAGTATAAAGTTGCGGTAGCTTGTTGCAGGCAAGTTTAAAATCTTCAACTTAGTGGCGTTACTCCCCTTTCCACTAGAAACACTGAAATCACTGAAATGTCATTATCATCAATGCAAGTCAGCCTGTCTGGCTCGTGCACGTACTTGTGTCCTAACGTGGGGAGTACGCGCGTCTAACACAAGAGCCCTGTAGGGCAGAAATCAACCTGTAGATCTCTATCTATATTATCGCTGGTCAAATATGGACACCAAAACTAATGTTGAGGTTACATTTCCAAAGCGGGGACCGGTCGGGCTGTTTTGATTAACGAAAAGTCAACAATTTATGCCAATGAAATACGCAAATAGTTCCCATTATTAATTTCTCACCTTTTTTGTAATTTGCTATCTTTATATCACACTTTTCATTCCTAAGACTGCCCGGCCGGGCCCCGGTTTGGAAATGTGACCTCAGCATTATCTTTCCTCTTTACTGGAGTCTTTCCAACTTTTATCTTACGCGCCAGCATTTCGTTGTAGAAAATAAGATGAAATTGGTATACATGTGGCAAAAAAATAATGTGTGGACGCCGAGCAAGCTAAGAAGCCGCCGATGTGGAAATAAGGCTGTAATGACCCGTCTCATACCTACCCGAGAGGCAAATTTCTCCTGTCAACCCCGTGAGTAAATCACATATGATTGACGTGAAGCGAATGCTCTCTTAGGCCATGTTGATTTGATTATATGGATGACATCCTCTGGGAACCCCAAAACTGATGCGCGCGTGCGAATAAAAAAAAGTTTTGCAAAAAAAAAAAGTTCTTTTCATTATGAAATCTACGTGGTCATGAGGGTTGAACAAATGGCACAGAATATGGTTTGGCGAATAATCTACTCTTCAAGTTCATTTCTTTACAATTTCGTCTTTTTTCGTTTGATTTTGGCATTCTACGACATTGGTATAATTTTTATTAATTTTGCTGTGTAACTTATGGTATATTTTTGCTCATTTTGCAACTGTTTTGTACGATTTACAGTATGGTTGAAAACTTTTTTTTTTTGGAAACGGCCGAAAATTCATGCGCGCGCGATGTCATCCATATAATCAAATCAACATGGCCTTACTTGCACGTGGACTCCACTGTGTGATGCAGTAACGCCCCCTACCATACTGTCGAGTTCTGGGTTAAAGCTGCATTATGTGATTTTTGGCCGTCTAATCTTAAAAAAAAAGTCGATTTTCTGGCCATTTTTTTACATTGCTAGTTGAATAAACCCTACCGTGTTACACTGCTCCATTCAGTTAATGGAGGCGAGACGATATTTTTGCGATGCGAGCGGTTAGAAAACTGAGAAATAGTTTTGGTTCCAGCGGTGGCATCAACTGAGCGCGCATCGAGCGGACTGTTTTTACGCTAACAAAATACGCCAGAAACGTAAAATAATGACGCAAATGTGTTGAAAAGTGATAGTAAATGATGATAAAACCAAGATTTGTCAGATTCAGAATATTTGATTTTTTTGCTCCAAAAACTACATAATGCAGCTTTAAATGCATCCAATGCGATTTCAGGGCAGCAAAACTGGAAGTCTTTGTGATCTTGACACATACTGCTTCACATTAGCACATTTGACTCAGCATTTCATACTTTGGGCATTTAACTGCAGAAACAAGCCCCAAGATTTCTTTTGTGGGTGGTACCCTAAAAATCAGCCCATGGCCCTTCCAGTAACCATTTTCCGTCACTATTTTTGCTCCATGAGGGTTTATATACAAAGTGTGGTTTCAACTCAGTATGTAGATATAAATGAATAGAATATTGGCTTTCGGGTTTCCAAGCCCTTAAAACTACACTGGATGCCTTTAATTAAGTCTCATGAAAATAATAGATAATAGACTGATGCAATGGTCAAGTGGGTAGAGTGTTCGCCCTGAGTTTGATACCCGACCGAGTCATACCCTTGGTACATACTGACTTCTCTGCTTAGCAATTGGCACTTGACACTCAGCATTTGGGTAAGAATATGGTACGTAGCTACACACACACACACACACACGCACACACACACCATTACCAGTGGACTAGCTCCCTACTGTAGTGATTGCACAACTGTGTGGCTCAGGGGCTGCTGAACTGGAGATGGGCGCCGCTCTATGCACTGTCTGGTGCGAGAAAGACTTTAAGTTAACCAAAGTAGCATATGCGTGTTTTCCCTGTATCTATTACTTTTATTTTGGAGATAAAAGACCTGAAGATGATTTTTTTTTCAATACTTTCTGTCCTCATGGCGGACAACGCCCATTTTTTTCTCAAATCTGGTTGGTGGATTACACGCGACATACCTTCGGCATAGAATGCACCAAGAAAGGAATTGAGTGTGATGTGTAGTACAAATATCTCCCGTTTGGTAATATCTTGTCTAAAACAGTACGGACACAAACTGTACTATTAAAAAAACTTTATTTTTGTTCATAAAGTACAGGCACTTAGGTGCCTGGTAACATTTTAAGCCATCGATGCATATACAGTAATTCATATGATTAAAATGAGCATTCAATCTTAAACAGTGAGACTATATTCATGTGACTAGTTCCATATTTGAACTTACAGGTGGTATTTTTCCGACAAGTATCAGCACATTGATGTATATATTGAAATCTTACATCAGAAAGGCGATATTCTTATTAGAATTACATCTTGTATGGTTAACAAAAGAAGAAGAACTTTATTGCACGACAATTGTACATGGTACAATGTATGGCCAACTACATAAAGAGAGTAACAACAATAAAATAAGTGTGTTGAATAAGACCTAATGTCTAATAAAGCCTAACATATCTATATCATAATTATTCAAATAACAAGGGATAGCACAAGTCGAGTGGGCTAATCACAAGTTTCGGTATTTTTTCTAATAGCAAAGCATTCCTTTATACATCTACCTATTTTTGCGTTGTGGGGACCATTACATGTAAAGATATATTCAAATCTGTCTCCAACATCGAGACTCTTGAAACCTATGGTACTTGATTCGAGAAATGTGAATAGCTTGTTACGTTTAACATCATATTTGGTACATTCCATAACAAAATGAAATTCATTTTCTATATGCTTTTGGACAACATGAGTGTGTAGCCATCTTGGACAAACTGTACTTGCATGCTGTGGGAAAAAGCTGTGGTATCTGTCAGACTTTTAGATTTTTAGATATACGTGTGCGATGCTGTCCTTGTCCTCACTTGGTCTCGATGTAGAAGGTGGCTAGTGTCAGGTGAATGACCTTCCCAATTATCACATTATACCATCTGACTACATCTAAATAATATGAAATCGAAGCGCTGTCAGTTGAGACAATAGAGACCCCTTGAGCTACGCCCAGATCTAAAGGTTAACGGCGTCTCGTCCTGCGATCGCGACAAACAACAGATCAATCAAAGTGTCTGACTTCTTGAGAAACTGGTGTCGCATTCTGTCGCGTCAGCTGAATTTTACAAACTTGCCAGCCGGATCGAAGACGGATCAAACCGAATCAATTCTCCTCCGATCGCGACAAACAACAGATCAATCAAGTCAAAGTGTCTGACAGCTGCTTGAGAAACTGGTGTTGCATTCTGGCGCGTCAGCTGAATTTTACTAAATTTGCAGCCGGATCGAAGACGGATCAAAACGAATCAATTCTCCTCCGATCGCGACAAACAACAGATCAATCAAGTCAAAGTGTCTGACTTCTTGAGAAACTGGTGTTGCATTCTGGCGCGTCAGCTGAATTTTTTAAAAATTTGCAGCCGGATCGAAGACGGATCAAAACGAACCGATTCGGCTCAACCCGGACAATCTTATCCTAGCGGGAATGGGACAAACAACAGATCAATCAAGTGTCTGACTTCTTGAGAAACTGGTGTTGCATTCTGGCGCGTCAGCTGAATTTTACAAATTTGCCAGCCGGATCGAAGCCGGATCAAACCGAATCAATTCTCCTCCGATCGCGACAAACAACAGATCAATCAAGTCAAAGTGTCTGACTGCTTGAGAAACTGGTGTTGCATTCTGGTGCGTCAGCTGAATTTTACAAATTTGCCAGCCGGATCAAACCGGATCGAACCGAATCAATTCGGCTACTTGAGGAACTAGTGTTGCATTCTGGCGCGTCAGCTGAATTTTCCTAAATTTGCAGCCGGATCGAGCCGGATTGAAGCCGGATCAAACCGAACCGATTCGGCTCGATCCGGACAATTTTATCCTAGTGGAAATGGGGCCTCGGCAGCTATGATAGGGATGGACACCAAACTCTGGCGAATTAGAACAGATTTGGAATCTAGTTCACCCATGAAGATTTAATAAAAGTTCTACAGTACAAAAAATGTAGTTCAATATTTGACTGTTTCGCTTGAGCCCATGTCACGCATTCAGAACCTTCCCCCGAACACCAGCCGACCAAGGTTGGCTGGAGTTCGGGACCAGATTCAGGCCACGCCTACCTTTCTATTCGAATCGAAGTTGAGTCAAATTTGACTGCCAACCATGCCACGACCTACTCCCGAACACCGGCCAACCATGGGAGAACCTCCCGTCCACCCCCGGACATTTTGAAACATTAGGCTGGCGAACAGAAGCCGACCTGGCCGAACAATATAGCTGACCCGACCGACCTTGCTCCCGACCTACTCCTCACCAAGGTCGGGGGGAGGTCGGCTAGTATGCGGGAGTCCAGACTCGGCTATGTACGACAGGGCATCGGATGTTTCCAAACTTACATCCTTGGCATATTCCATTGAAGTCTTAGGGTTAATTTATTTCAAAATGTTGTAGAGCTTTACGCTCTTCAAACGTTCTCTAATTGAAATGTAATGTTACTACAACAATGTTTTTTTTTTCAGCAGGTGGAAGTCCAGCAGCATGGCGTCCAAGAGCGCCACACTGCGGTTTCTGCGAGCGCTGCTCCTCATCTTTGCAGTCGTCTCTTCTGTTTCTGCTGAGGTGCATTTCCATTTGCAAGTTACATGTTCAAGTCAAGGCCATACCTCTCCCGTATTGTGGCATGTGTGATGGCTAATCGTATAATTTGTTTGTCTATAATCTGTAGTGAAAAAAGAGACAACATCATCTACTTCATGGCTTTCAGAATACTGCCGCTACCATACCTCCAGTCAGTGTTTAAAGACCAAATGACACCAAAAAAGTCCGTCAAATACATACAAATATCGGAAGTGTACATATAATATAGAGAAATGACTGAGAAATTGAGCTTGTACAGCCTTCTAAAAGTGGGGTTTTAGAGACTCTTTAGCAAGCTTCCCAATTGCCCACTTCGGGCATCTCTAATTGCATCACTGGGTAACATCAGCTTAGGAAAAAAAATGCAGATATGCAAAAATAAAATGTAGATATGCAAATCGCCTGCCAAGACTGGCTTGTGCTGACTTTTCCAAGGTAGGGCGTTAGAATTTTGAATGTAACAAGAGAACCGTGCATATTTATTGTAAATGTGTCTGTTAGCCAGGTAATACTAGTTATGTCAATAACAATCAGCTAAGGTCATTTTTTGGTGTCATGAGCACTTTAAGTACATGTAGCATGAAATGGATTAACTTCAAAGGACATATAACTCATTAACATGCTAAATACTATATGTTTTCTGACAGATAACGGAGGAAGGGCGGCTTGAAAAGATGTTGAACCAATTGAAGGATATGGCCCACACTGTCCTGGAGAATGTCGGCTTGGAGGTACGTGTTTTAGCTTCTACTATTCCAGGGGTCCTGACTCGCAAACATAATGCATACATGTGTCCACGTAATTACATTGTGTGGTAAATAACTCCCTATCAGTTGCAATCTGGAATGGAATTCTAGACATCTAGAGAACTAGTTATCATCGACAAAGCTTAAACATTCTGCTGGCATTTTTACACAATATTTTGCAATAATTTCAAAATAATTTAATCAAGTAATAGACCCCTGACTTTCTTGCCCTGCGGTGGCATAGTTACTTTCGCATTCGCTTCGCTGCAGTGTGACGCGTTGCACAAGAAATACCCCCAAATCGTACATATACAAATAACGTGACACAAGATACTGGTCCAATTTTGTTTTGATTTTTTATATTCCAACATGTAGTCACAGGACGTGGTGACGGCACACTCAAGTTTTCTCAACTTATATTAATGCCGCCACCAACACAGGGGACAATACAATACTCATTTTCTCCTGAGCGAAGTGAGGAAAGTCGTGTTAATTGCCTTCCCCAAGGGCACAAGATCGGTGGCATGTCAGGACTCGAACCCAGGACCTCTTGGTTCCGAGTCGAGCACTTTGCCGCTACGGCACACGACCCCATGGTCCAATTTCTGATTGTGACTGTGCAGCACCAAAGGGTAGATGATATTAAACAATGGGTAAATGGGAAATTAAAATGACGTCTGCTTTGGTAGGATGAAGAGAGGTACTCGGAGGAGGACGTGACAGACAACGATACCGAAGAGCCAGGTTTCTCCAATGCAGTATCCTTTCTGGACACAATGAAGTCACGGGTAAATTGTCTTACATTTTTACAGTAGTCGCTTCTTTACTTTGTTATGTTTACCGAAGGAAAACATATTGTTTTTGCTCAGTTTCTTCCTCTTCGTCTTCTTATCCATACAGTGACTTCTGACCTGACCAATGACATGATTTGTTGACGTCTGTCACCATGGTGACTGGTGTTGGGTTACATAATGTTGCAATGTCATGGTCTGCTCTGCTCCTGTCACCCCTATATACTAGTAGTGCATGTATGTTAATGTGTTTGAGTAAGAATTAAAAGATCTGGCCATGTCCGAAGGTAAACATTATTATGATACTTCTATAGTTTTACTTTAAATTTGACTTGGGATGCATGTATGTATGTATGTCTGGTATTTTTTTTTTATTTATTATAACATTTAGTAACAAAACAGGATGACGACATACTCAAGCTACAATGCTTATGTTTGTGTCGTCATCGTTACAAAGATATATACATGTAGTCACAAGTACAGACATGCAAAGCATAAGAGTAATAAGGTAAACTAAAGTAAGCCGCATTATAACTAAATCATAAAATATGTAACAAATATATAACAGTATATGCAGGTAAGTGATAAGTGAATAAGTAGGCATTCCAAGTCAAACAACAAACTGGTAGGATAAGGAATTGATGGTTACTCAAATCTTTCCGTTTCTTTTATAAACAATTGAACACTTTGTAAGAGTTTAGCGTTGTTAGAAGCCGACAGAGAAGAGGAACCTCTAAGCAGTAATTGTACTAGGAGATTATCGGGAAGGTTTTGGATGTTGATGGCAAATCCTACAAGTTTGTTTAAATTGCTGAAGAGGGAGACACGATATTGAGTAAACTTTGGGCAGTGCAGAAGATAATGATGAATACTTTCACAGGGGTGGCCACAAGTACAAGCAGGACTAGATACCAGTGTTGACAAATGAATTCGTAAAATTAAGGCTAAGTAAACTCCTAGCCTGACTAAATCTGCGCCCCTAGCGGCCGGCCCGGTATTACACCAGTCAATACCGGGCCGGCCGCTAGGGGCGCAGATTTAGTCAGGTTAAACTAAGTAAACTCCTCACTATCTCCAATTACCAATAGAAATTGCTCCTGGACGTCGACGCCGCTCCCTGATAAGGAATAGTTTGCCCGGACAAAGCTACTGTTAATAAGTTATACATACATACATACATACCTTACTATTAATCATATATATTCCGGTCATGTACAAATAAAAGAGGAATTGACATGGTACCTTTAAATTTCAGGTCGTCTTCATGCAATGCTTCTCAATAAGTTTTCACAAACATAATTTGCAAGGTGTTATACTGTACGGATTTCCCTTCAGATGTACAAAGTAAACTGGAATAGCTTGTAAAATGTGCTCTATCCGTCATAGTAGATCCAGGCCAGATGTTTGTCCTTGAGCGCGATGATCGCAGTTCTGCTGTTCAAGGCCGTGTGAAAAGGCACGTTGTTGGGGATGATACAATAACGCTAGCAGGGGAGTATTG